GCAGAGCCACCAGCCTGCTCTAATGCTCGGGTGTCAGATCTGAGCTGATAATGACCAGGAGCTTATTCCCCTCCCGGAGAAATGCATACTCCAGGTGAGAGGGGAGGGGCTTAAGCTCCAGCTCTGGCGGCTCCTCCAATGATGTAGCGATCCTGAGCGAGATAGGGATCAGCTTGAATGGTATCTCTCGCCCCTCGATCGCAGCCTCGTCTAGCTCCGCGAGCTGCTCCTCCAGCTGCACATCCTGTGATGCCTGTTCCACTAGCAAAAGACAACGTTGGAGGAAATCATCAGTACCCGCACTCGTGATGGCGAGTGCGGTCTCAAAATCAGCAACAACATCACAGTAGTCTAGATCATCATGGAGCTGGTGGTGTTTCATATTATCAGAAACAGAGAAGGTGATTTGTTCACCCCCAGCTCGCAAAATCAATTTCCCATCATTCACATCAATGAGCGCCTTGGCGGTGGCGAGAAAAGATCTACCCAATATTAATGGCACATCCACATCCTCATTTATGTCCAAAATCACAAAATCAACGGGATATGAGAATGGCCCTACTGCGACGATCAAGTCCTCTGCAATGCTCCTAGGATGCACAATGGATCTATCAGCAAGTTGAATGCTCATCCTAGTATCACTGGGTTCACCTAGGCCTAGCTTTTTAAACAGTTTATATGGCATGACATTTATGCTAGCGCCTAAATCGCCAAGGACTTCCCTATATGCAAACTACCAATCATGCAAGGGATAGTGAAACTCCCTGGGTCTTTTCGCTTCTCTGGTAGTTTGTTCTGCAGGATGGCAGAACGCTCCTCGTTGAGCATCACCGTGGACAGCTCCCCAAGCTTCCTCTTGTTGGTGAGGAGATCCTTCATGAACTTGGCATACTTGGGCATCTTCGATAATGCCTCCATGAAGGGCATGCTTATGTTTGCCTGCTTCAACATTGCAATGAACTTGGCAAACTCAGTCTCCCGTCGGTCCTTGTGCAACCGAGTAGGAAAGGGAAGCAGCGGTACATACTCCTTCACCACTGGTTGCGGTTTAGGAGCAGGCACCTCAACCTCCTTCTCCATTTCCTCCTCATTGGCTGGAAGTGCTGAAGCAGGGGTCTCTCTCTCCTGTGCCCGCACAGGTGGATCTGCAGTCATCTTGCCACTACTGGTAGTAATGGCCTTGCAGTGCTCATTTGGGTCCTCCGGATGAGGGATGGTCTGACCGGGTAGAGTACCAGGAGTCCTCTGAGCTACAGCCTGGGTAACACTCCCAAGCTGGGTCTGGATATCCCGCAGCACAGCCTGTGTGTTTCTCTAACCAGCTTCTAGCTCCAAGAACTTACCTGAAGCTTTCTCCATGAACTGCTCAATGTTATTGAACTTGTTTGCACTGGAGGTGGCCAGAGAACCCACCAAATCTCGCAATTCCGCCAATGGGTCACTTTGCACTGGGGCTGCAGGTGCTGCCCCAGTTTGATGAAATGGCCGCACCTGTGACTGAGGTGGAACTGGCCCCTGTCTAGGTGTGTAGAGAGGCTGTTGCGGCTGCTGAAATTGCCCTTGTCTGGGCTAGTTAGGAGGTCTCTGGAAGCCTGGTGGTCCCTGGGGGACTGGTGGTCTAGAATTGGCCACAGCCCAGGAGAAGTTGGGATGCTGGCGCCACCCCTAGTTGTAAGTGTTGCTGTAGGGGTCGAAGCGCCTGGCATTGCCGATGAAGTCAACCTGCTCATGGGGAGTAGACGACTCCCTAATCGCCGGACAGTCCTCCACGGTGTGATGGGAGCTCTCACACCACTGGCAGTGCATCGCTTGCTGCTGTCATGTACCTGCAATCATCCCAGATCGATCAATTGCTGAAACCAGCTTCGATACCACCTGCACCAAATCAGATGACTGGGTGCCTACAGCATGCACACCCCGCCCTGGTGCTCGTCTCGATCTCCTCGCAGTCCCCCAATCATAGCCCTGCTCTGCCATCTCCTCAAAGAGTTGATTCAGCTTTGGCGGTGTCTTGGTGAGCATATTCCCGCCACAGGACGAGACAATCAGCTGCTTGTCTTCCGGGAAGAGGGCATGGTAGAAGGTGTCCACCTTGAAGGCGTCGGTAAAACCATGGTTGGGACACTTGAGGAAGAGACTGTGTATCTCTCCCAAGCATCCCAGATGGTCTCATCTTCATCCTGAGCAAAGTGGGTAATTTGCTTCTGCAGGTCCGCCGTCTTGGACGAGGGATGGTAGCGAGTGAGGAACTTGTCTGTCGGGTTGGCGAACGTGGTGATCGTTAGCCACTCCTTGGCCTGCCCCTCCAGAGTAAATGGGAAGTACCTCAGCTGGATGGCATCGGCTAGGACCTCATTTATCTTGATTCCATCAATGAGCTCGTGGAATCGCATCAGATGTGATCGGGGGCACTCTCCCTCCTTGCCACGGAACACCACCGAACCGCGCAGCATGGTGATGACAGAGATGCTCACCTCAAAGTTATTCGCTGGCACATGAGGGTGCTGAATGGGCGACCTCATGTACGCGGCTCTGGCGGTCTAGTAGTATCCCATGGTCTGCTCCTCAGGAATGACCACATCATTGTTATGTGGGTCACCCATCTCTTCTTCGTCGGTGATTTGCAGCTGTGTTAGCGCGTCCTCCGCAGCCAGTCGCGCTTTTAGAGCCCGCTTGAACTTCCTACAGGTCCATTCAAGCTCCTAGTCTAATGGTAGTAAATCTCCCGACTGGCTACGGATCATGCACAACCTGCACACAATCAGCAAAAGCAACCCGTGAAGGCACATAGGTGGAAGAGAGAAAATGCAGTAAAGAAAAAGTTAGAGTAACAAACTTTCACGTTTCCCCAATAACCTAGAGGGTCCCCGGCAACGACGCAAAAAACTTGACACGCTAAAACACAACACCAAACTGCGACCAAGTGTAATCGCAGTCCGGAAATGCAGTAACAGGCAAGCTCTAATGTCAACCCGCGGTCTAGATCTACTACCTACTCCGTGAATATCTATTATCTGGCCAACTAAGTTAAGTGATCGTTGATTTAAGTAAAAGCAGTCAGAAAGAAGGAAATGATTCGGTTTTCTAAAGCAAAGGAAGAGTCACTCGGGAATGAGTCCCCCTGACTCCTTAGTTAGGTCTCAGTTGTAATTACCCTGGGTTGATTTACTGTTGATTAAACTGCGGAAGATCCGACAGTAGCTTGGAATCTCTTAAGCTGACCAAGCCCTCTCAGGCAGGCTAACCGGCAGGCGACTAACCTTCACTGGGATAGACTGCTGAGGCAATAAACAGAGAACTCCACTACTGGAATTGGGTTCCAGTACAAAGAAGTAGATTGATTAACTCTCGTACAACCAATCTACCACTACCGAATGATGAAGCACTAACAACCTAATCAGATTCTATCTATCTCAGGTTGCAGCAGAAATCAAGAAAAGATGATCATACTTCAATTGATTCAATGAATCATGCATAATTCGATTAAAACCAAACAGTATAACAATCCCAAGTCATTACAAGCAAGATCCCTAACACATAGAACTAGGGTTCTTCATACCCAGGTGAGAGAAAGTTCTACTCCATAGAGAGAGAGGAAGTTTGCTAGGTGTTCAGACCCACAGCACAAGAGGGGTCATGCATGACACCATCCAAGGGGGTCAAGCACAAGGGGGGTCATGCATGACATCGTCCAAGGGGGGTCTCGTACAAGGGGAGTCAAGCATGACACCATCCAAGGGGGTCAAGCATGATGTGTGTTGAGACAGCCAAAATATTGGCTAAGTGTTGAGACCCACAGCACAAGGGGGGTCATGCATGACACCGTCCAAAGGGGTCAAGCACTAGGGTGTCAAGCATGATGCCGAGGTGAAAATTGGCTAAGTATGGAGATCCAACCGTCCAAGGGGGTCAAGCACCAGGGGGGTCATGCATGACATCGTCCAAGGGGGGTCTCGTACATGGGGGGTCATGCATGACACCGTCCAAGGGGGTCAAGCACAAGGGGGTCATGCATGACATCATCCCAAGGGGTCAAGCATGATACCATCTAATGTGAGTTGAGTATGACGAGACGCGAGCTAACTGTGGTGGCAAAGAGAGCCAAAATTTGGCTAAGTGTTGAGACCCATAGCACAAGGGGGGTCAAGCACTATGCCATCTACCTACCTTGCACCAGGGGGGTCATGCATGACACCGTCCAAAGGGGTCAAGCACTAGGGTGTCAAGCATGATGCCACCCCAAGGGGGTCAGTGCGGATCCATCGAACCCCCAAGCACCCTGGTGTCGAGCATGACGTCATGTCAAGGTGGTTAGCACGAGTACCACCAAGTGTGAAGCCTTCACTCATCAAACAAGACACCTCCATTGCACAAGGGTTAGTTATCGAGTGGCAAGCACGCAAGACAGTCAAGGCGTCAAGCAAGCTACATCAAGCACCAAGCAGTGGAGCAGCGGTTACCAAGAGGCGGTTGCACGACGGTTACAAGGGATGACTATAAATAGGAGAAACGAAGACGAAGCAAGGGTTCCACAACCAACCATTTGACACACTATGTCAAACTTTATCTTTTTCTCTGCAAATTAGCCATAGCCTTAGTTTTCGGAGCTCTCGCTGAACCTCCATAGGAGTAGGTGTAATTAACTTAGTTTGTCCCCAAAAACCATCAAGAACATCAAACACCCTCGTTCGAACATTGTTCGGAGAGGAGTGGACCGTGTAATTATCGTTGTTCAAGAAGTCAAAGGTGCATTGATTGTGTTCAAACACAAGATTTTCCTCGCCGGAAAACATTAGGTGTTAGGTTGTAGACGAATAAACAAAGAATGTGAAGACAGGGTAGAACTTAAAATTGAAAATTTACCATTTCATCAAAAACCTATGTTGTTAAACAAGCAAGGAATGAACACAAGCACATAAATCACTCAAAACAAAAACCCTCATACAAACCAGCCCAGAATTTAAGATTTCCAAGAAACAAAAGCCCGAAGTTTCAACTGATCTTGTTTGAAACATTAAATTTCAACACTATTTGCCACAAATGCCAACACAGAAAAGTAGAACGAATCCACTTTTAGCTCGCATTTTGATTTCGGTGAAGAAATCATCAGTTGAAGTCGGCTGCAAAAACTGAAAAAGTACAAGCAACATCTGCCACCCAAAGAAAAGAAATACATTCGCATCAAATATAATCATCTATACACCGCTCTCAAGACTCAAGTATGCCAGCGAAAAGGGACGCCAGGGACAACCAACTTACAACAATGAACCCAAAGTCATCAGAAAACAGTCGGAATGGCCCAATGCAGGCAGCAACTACGCTAATTTGCTATATTCTTACGTACATTGCTTCTTTGCTAAACTCTTGATGAATACTCAGGGACATTAATAAAAAAGTCGAGTTAGCAATATGTATGATCACTTTCCTGAATCAAATGCGCAAGTAGCCTTTTCTTTCTTGTAACCCGATGGTTCTCTTGAGAAATGATTTCCTGTTGATCGACCAGCTTCTTTTCATGCCTATTCTCTGCCTCCAAGAAGCAAAAGAAGCCCAAGCAGACGGGAAGAGAAAGCACAGTAGCACAAGCAATAGCATTCCCAGACACAGAAGTATCACATTCTGAAAACCATCTTCTAATTCCGGGTCATCTTGGCCTGTCCATGGTACTCCTCCAACATTCATCCCAAATACTGTATAAAATGATGAAATGAGAGGTCATAAGCCTGTGTAACAGTATCCTTGAAGACCCAATGATTGAGATGTTTAGGAGGTTATCAATCTTACCTCCAGTGATGATTGACAGCGGAAGAAATACAATGGAAAGGAATGAGAGATAGTACAGTTTCCGATTGATTTGCTCAGCTTGCCAACTGTCAAGACCTGCCTGAATCGCCGTTACACGATTCGCTATGAACCCCACATTCTCTTTTAGCCTCCTCAATCTTCCAATCAACTCTTCCGAGGCATTAATGTCTTGGCTGGCAAACCACCCTTTTGTTGAACACTTTTCCTTCACACGAGGAAGTACTTGCTCCCCATGCGCAATCACCTGTAATCAACCAAATCATACAAGTTGAGCACTTAACTTCATTCCGCCATATTTTTTAGAAAGTAGTAAAAGGATGATAAATCAAATAACTTAAGCATCTGGTGTACTTATGTTGATTTGCACAACAGAAGCCATATACGTTAAGGAGTGCCTTAGTTCTTTTATATGTCCTTTACCAACACAAATGTTTCTACCTGAAAGCCTTCATAAACCAAGCTAAAGGCACCGTTCATTGCCCTAAATCAACAGTGAGCGAAATAGAATTACGGATCGGAAGAACTGATTTGTTTTATCCAATCCCCCCCCCCCCCCCCCCCCCTAAACTGTTTTATCCAGCCATCAAACAAATTGTTTTACTTCAACCATTTTTAAACACATAAGAGCTGTTAACAAGCAGATGAAACACCTGAAGCAAACGTTGGAGATTAAGGTGCATTTTTGGGAACCTTCTATCATCTAGCATTTGTTTCTTCAAAGCAAAGCTACCTGAAAAATACCACAAAAAGAACCTCAGTGCCGTACTGCCGTTAAAAGAAAATTTGGAATTTAACTTGCCCAGTTAAAATACACTATGGCCACAGAACTTGGGAGCAAACTGATGAGATAAACAAGTTGAAAATAGTGACATTCTGAAACCAGCAATTCTTCCACTCATTTTGGAAAAGATACTTCCATAATATTTGCTTTGGTTATGCTTTACTTTCTCTTTCCTACAACGATCGAGCAGTAGCACATGTCATATGCAACCAGCTGGCCTCAGAGATGGCAAGTCACTTCCATAATATTTGCTACTTCTACAAACACAAAATGAAGATGCAACTGGTATAAAAAATCTAATAATCTTCAGATGCTTTATAACCAGGTAGGCATAAGCGAAGGAGAAAAACTAGAACTAATACTAAAACATAACTTGCTGCTCTACAGAAATAAGGGGCACACGCAGTGGCAACAAGAAAGGAGCACAAGGAGAAAGCCATCATAAACACTATGACTTTGAAAGAAAAAAATCAAAGGCAATATAAAGCCTGTGGATCCTATTCATTCAAATCTCCTTTCACTTTAACATAGTTCCATGTCATGTTTAGTTACCTTTATCCATGTCAAGCTCCACAGCTTCCAACTCCATCTCTAGTTTAGTTACAGTATCTTGAAGGTGATCGACGTGGGTGTCAAGAATATGAACAACCAGGTTTGAGACTGTTTTTGGAACAGGATTATCAGCCTCCTCAGAATGGTTCATAGTTAAAAGGAACTCAAGAACATGTTCCTTGATCAAAGTTCCAGCTGCTTCCTTATTTGTTCCTCTACGATAAGGAGACTCCACACTAGGAATCTCTGAAAGAAGAGATTGACTCGTTGGTGAGAATCCTACCCTAGGAATATGGCCTAATGATACAGTAATGACCGAATTTTCAGTAACTCTAGCTGCCAATCGGAATGTAAAGTTGCTCGAAGGGGTGCCAGAAGAATTAACTCTGAACACAAGTGCCCCATCAACAAATCCACAGAAGGGTCCGTTGCTAACTAGTGATAAAATATCTTGGAGTTTCAGCGGAGGGCATAGAAGATCAATGAGCCATTGTGCTGATGAAGTTAGTTTCTGGTTACTTCTGGGGAGTTCAACATGGTACCAACAGAACTCCTGACCTGTACCTTCGGTTATAACCCACTCTTTATTATAGTAATTCCCATGACCATCAAATATATAAGCTTTTTGCCTCACCATGCGAGGGAGACGAGCTAGAGCAGCAGGATTTTCATGAGGAAGACTGTCAACAGTGGGTTCTCTATCGATTTCCCCTACATCCCCATTGGCAATGGGCTCTTCTCTGGCAAGCTCCATCTGTTTCGGCCAAGATTTTGGTATGCAGCCCTAAGAATTTGTAAAGAGCATACAATGCAAAGACTCTAAGGTCAGCACTGTAACGGCTCAAATTATGACCACCAAAGTAGAGCCCCGTGAAATGTCTAAATGATGATGGAACCTCCTATATTATAGGAACCAACAAGTTATATTTGAGTTGAGATACAGTTTCTGGATGGCGCCTCAGAAAACAACCCAGAACCAGAACTAGGAAATCAAACTAAGGGAACAGCTAACAGATAGTTCTTCAATCAAAACTTGAAGCAACCCCAACAAGCACCCAGAAGAAGGCACAATTTCACAATTCAGTCCTCCCTGTACAGTCAGAAATGCAACGTTATCCTCAACCCGTGTTTCATCATCCAATGAACAAAAAACGTGCATCTCAGATGAAGCAAACGTCATCAACCAAAACAAGCAAACGGAAATCAAAGAACAGAGGAAAATTACCAACCTCACAGGAAGAACAGATCTCATTGACCAGCGAATTAAGGTAGAGAATCTCGAATGGTGCTGAAACAAAGATGAAGAGATCTTAAGAGCCTAACAAATATCAGTACAAAAGTTTGGTCATCCTTGTGTACTTCCCTGCTTTAGCAAAACCGAGAAGACAGTGGTTAAGAAATCATCAATCACCATAAAATGAAACAAGGACTGATCTCGGTTCATTATCATATAAATCCTAGATTAGAAGTTTCATTACCTTCTCTGAGTCCCCAGAAACGGAGAAGGATTCAAAGTTTTAGCCGACGGAGGAAGTCAGGGGCGTAGAACAATATCCCGGATCGCCACCGGTAGCCCGTGTAATGCTTGCTGGGGAGACAGCCAACTGTTGCAGTGGAGGTTGGACGGCTACCGTCAGCGGCAGCCCACCGGCGAAACGGGGAGACTTGTGTTAGGTGGTTGACTAGTTTCGACGGTTGTAGCTCTGTGCAATGAGAGTTTCGGATTCTCGAGTCCGCCACATATGCTCTTTCGTTCTTAAATTACGAAGCCACATAAGCTGTCTTTGCGACGGGTACGCGACCCCTCGATTTGGTGAATTTGATGATGAATGTGAATCTATTGATTTTGTCTATTCATATTGTCTGATAGATTTTTTTTTTTTTTACCGTTTGCATGACTCATCTGCAAAATGAGTCATTTGTTTAAATATAGGCATTAAAATGGGGTTAAAGACACATTTGGTCACTGGATTTACTAAAATGTGTCATGTTTAGTAACTGAAAAAAACAAATATCAAATTTGGTCACTCGAATTAATAAAACGGTCCATATTTAGTCACTCTCCGTTAACTTTGCAGTCAACCCTAACAGTTGACTGTTAAATGTCTGACGTGGCGATTAAAAAATTAATAAAAAAATTAATTTAATTTTTTTAATATTTCCACATCATTAAAATAATAAAATAAATAAATAAAAGCAAATTAAATCTCATCTCCTCCGCAGCTCTCCACAACCGCCCCAACGTCTTCCTTTTCAACCTCCCCCACCGCCGCTGACGGCAAAACTCCGGCACCCGTCGCCCGTCGATGAAGACTTCTTCTCGCATTCCAGCACAATCCTCACAAGGCCACGCACCATCTCCCTGATCACCAGCTCGTCCTTAGCATAGAGGCCATCTGCCCTATTGGAGTGCAAGACGGCCCCTTTCCAGGTTGGGACTTTCACAGGTTCGTAATGAGACGTGGGTCGTCAGGATTCTACACATACGCCATTTATGAACATTCGCAGCAGCACCCTGCCTTTCAGCTCGCCAACACTCGCCTCGTCCTCAAGCCCAGAAAAGACAAGTAAGCACATTTCACAGTAATAGTCAAATTGGAAGATGAGTAGCAGTGTGACAGCAATGTTCAAACATTGATGCAGATTCCATTACATGGCAATAAGTGACAAGAAGCAAAGACCGATGCCGTTGCCCGAAGATCGGGTGCCTCCAAGAGGCCAGCCGCTAGCAATTTCATGGTCAGGGGTCAAGTTGCTTTTATTTATTTATTTTATTATTTTAATGATGTGGAAATATTAAAAAATTAAATTATTTTTTTATTAATTTTTTAATCGCCACTTCAGACATTTAACAGTCAATTGTTAGGGTTGACTGCAAAGTTAACGGAGAGTGACTAAATATGGACCATTTTATTAATTCGAGTGACCAAATTTGATATTTGTTTTTTACAGTGACTAAACATGACACATTTTAGTAAACCCAGTGACCAAATGTGTCTTTAACCCCATTAAAATGCATTGTTTGTTTAAAAAAATTTAGATTAGTTATTTGTATAATGTTATCATTTTGCCCTTACATGTAATATGTTTTGTTTTTTTTTTTCTACTCTAATGAAACAAACCACATAAACAAAATCATTTTGCAACTAACAAAATATATTATAAATATATTATTTGAGTGTTTGCCATTTATAAGGCTGCTTTCTAATTATGAATAATTATTAGATGTTAACTTTCTTTATAAAAGATAACACATCTATAAGTCATTTGAGAATTTCGTATGGACGAAATAACTCATGGATAGGACGCATTTGAAAATGACTCAATAGAGTCATTTGAGAATTTCGTATAGACGAAATGACTCATGCGTTTTTTTTTAGCAAACAAGTCATTTGACATCAAATGACTCTTACAAATGACTCAAGCAAACGACCCCTTAAGGTCCAAATTCGTAGATTCCACAGACTTGAAAATGTCATTTCGTTAGGTGGGAGTTGATCATGGATTTTGAAGTCTATAATTTATGATCAATCTACTCCTCTTATTTCCTTCTTTTTATACCAATGAGTAGTTAGTAAATACTTCTTTTAATATACGTATATGTACCCGTACATACTTTATCCGTTTAAAACTTCCGTATTCGTATTAATGTCAAACCGTTTAATTAGTTTTCGTTCATTTGACGGCTCCCGCACTAAACACGTATAAAACTCGTATAACACGTTTAATATCCGTATTTAATGAAATAAATTATTAACTTTACTATTTTTTACATATTTATTTATTTATAAAAATAATTAATTATATATATTTATGACTATTAGCGTACTATTAAATGTAACATTAGCTAAGAGGCGAAGTATAATACCCGTACGCATCTTATACGTAACTTTCTCGTACCGTATTTTAATAACTATGCCAATGAGGGGGATAAATGTCAATTTTACTTCATACATACAGATCTAATTCACAAGATTCATCATGAAATCTATGAAACAAACATTGATGTTTTTCAAGTCCATAATGAACCAAAACCTTCATATACTAATGGTTTTTCAAAGCCAAAGTTTTACGAAACCTTCATTTTTCAAATCCAGAATGCAAACGTCCTATAAGATTGTAAAAATTTCATACAATACAATACTTAGCAAAATATTTCTCAAAATAATAAAATTTGGCACACTTCGTTGGACAGTCAAACGAACTGGAATGTGGTTCGCTGGAGAGCAACGGGAAGCAAGCGAGATCGCTGGAGCTCAGCAATTGGTAGATACACGAAAACACGGATCACTACTAAAGGTCGCGATGCACGATGCAAGGCAGGGGATCGCATGGTTGTGAAGTACTCAGTGTTGCAGATGATGATTGGTTGGCTTCTCGCGACGTGGATCGCAGGGAAGGATAGCGGAGACCCCTTGATCGTTGTTCACACCCGTGATGTATGTGGTTTGTCGACCCCTAGTGCTAACTACTTCACCTAGCCCCACCATGACTCCTCCTCCCCCCTCCCCCCCCCCCACCCACCCCACACACACACACAAAACCTATAAATACTCCCCCTCTCATGCACCACAAATCACACCACTCCACTATTATATTCTCTCCTCTTATTTCTATCATTGAAAGAAAATTCTATTATACTTTGTGGTCGCGGCTAAACCCGATGATTCGGGTCTAATTGTACATGTTTTACCCCCGTTTTCTTAGGCGTTTGTGACAATTTCGCTCCTAAAATGGTGGTTTTATGTTAGGTTTCTCGTATTTTAGTGTGTTTCAGGATTTAACAGGTGAAACCAGCCTCGGAGTCAAAAGTTGGACGAAAAGGGGCGAAAATCGCGAGAAAGGGTGAAAAACGGCGAGTTCACGGTTTTCCTTGGAAGTTCACGGTCTTCTAAGACCGTGAAGAAGAGCTGTTGCCGTGAATATCAAGGAGTCCACAACCAAATCTCAAGTTACTGACACTAATTGAGTTCACGGACGCATTTCAGAGTTCACGGCCTTGAACCGAGGCCGTGAACTGACCACGATCCCTGTATAAAAGATGAGCGGAAAGGAAGAGAGAGGAGAGAGCCCATTTTAGTGAGAAAGTCTTCTTCATATTTTAGAGAGAGAAAGAAAAACCAAAGGAGAAGGAGGCTAGGGGTTTTGCTCCAAGGGTGGATTTGTGAAGATTCTCCCCAAGAGAAGTTCAGCACAAGTGCCAAGAAGATTAGAAGCCTCCTTCATGATGGTTTCTACCTCTTCCACTTGTGTTTCTCCCACTTCTAGCATGGAGTAGATTTCTTTTCACTTGGGTGTTGTGAAACCCTAACTATCTACCACGTAGTTTTTTTTATGTGAATCGAATGATTGTTTATGGGTGTTGTTTAATTCAATGATTGAGGTATTATTCATGTTGATTGTGCATGTTTGTGCTTAGCATCTAAGGGCTGTGCATTTTGGTGCTTAGCAATCTAATGATTGTGCTTAGCAACCTAAGAATTGTGCATGTTTATGCTTAGCAATCTAATTAGCCACTTAACCTAGATTAGAGAGGAAACCCCCCTTCTAAGGGAGACTCAATTGAGTTGGTATCCCTAGGGATGTTTAAGTCTCCTAACTAGGTTAAGTTAGGGCAAACCTCAATATTGGATTAAGCAATTTGGTTAAGCGCAATATTGGATTAAGCAATTTGGTTAAGCGCAATATTGGATTAAGCAATTTGGTTAAGCGTGATTAAGCTGTCTAACTCATTATGACGCAACTCCTAACAATGGCCAAGTGTAACCAATGAAAGGGACTGTAGTAGAGTAGCTCAAGTAATAAATATCGAATCCACGAGTCTCTAGAGTTACTATTACTCAGCTTCAGTTCATTATCTAGCAAACCAGACTAAGAGAGAACAACTAAAACTACTCTAGCAAACTACGGTTAAAGTTAATCTAATTGCAGGTTGGGAACTCACTTAGGTATGATTCCCCCTAGCCACTAGCTAGATTAATGATTGATGATCTCTAACCTGTTTCACTTTCATTCACAATGCGGAGAATCCTTAACTAGGCCTTGAGTCTCGACTAAAGGAACAAGGCCCTCTTGAGTCAGTTGCCTAGAGGGACGTATCCTTCTCTAGAACAACAGACAAGGCGTTATGAACTAGACTCCCTCTATCGAATAAGGTTCTTAATTGATACAAAGCATTGAATCAACCCTCGACTAAAGCAATCGATCCAATACTATCAATTTATGGTGCTCTATTGACCTAATCAGGTATTCGCTCTCATATGATCAAAGCAGAATCAATAATCTCGACTAAAGCAAAATTGAATCATGAAAACATGCATAGATTGAATATGAACTCAAGATTATCAACTAAGAGTACTCATACAATCATCCAATCAAACAAACATGGCTAGGGTTCCTCAAAACCTAAGTGAAGGGAAGTTACTCCATAGAGAAGAGAGAGAATGCAGTAAGAATCTTCAGATGATCACTCTTCAAGTCCGGGCTTGTTCCTCGAGCTTCCAAGGCGAAGAAATCCTCCAATTCCACTCCAAGATTTCCCTCAAGTCCGGGCTGGCCTTCGAAGACGGCGGAGCGGAGAAATAAGATTACCCATTTCGAGCAAGAAGAGGACGAGAACTTGAGGGATGCTTGGGAGAGGTACTCCGATTACTTTATTCAGTGCCCTCACCACGGGTTTGAAGAACAGTTTCGAATTGAAACCTTCTACGGAGGTCTAATTCAAGAAGACAAAATTCTCATTCACTCCTTGTGTCAAGGGAAATTGATGAATATGGTTCCGCCCCAAGTAACCGAGCTACTTGAAGACATG